CATCACTACAATTCTACCCCTGAATGTCACAGACAGGCACATATGTGATGATTGGTGTGCCTCAAAAATGCAATGTCCCTTCACCAACAACCCGTCTTCTAGTAATTTTACACAGTAATCAGGAAAAAGAATGATCTATAAACATTTCTGATGTACAGAAAGTAATAAAAGGACAGCAGGATGTGCAAACAGCCCATGAAAAGGGCACAACATCCCTGGCACCAAACAAAATGATTCTTTCAAGCAAATTCTTTGTTCCATTGCTTTCCTGATTTGTAGGTTCCATTGTTCTGTAAGTAAAATCAATCTTGGTTGTACAGCATTGCTGTCTCCAGAACACCAGAATGAGGGTTTTAACATGAACCAACTGATACATTAGTGATTTAAAATAAATAAAAATATAATATGACCTCTATGCTAATTTTTTACCACAGTTTGCCCTAGTCACGTAGGGCAAAAAAACTGCAGCTTTTTGTGCAATGGCCTGTGTGAGCATACCATACCAAGCTAAGGCTTGTGTATGAAGATTTGCTATTATCATGAGGGGGGGGGGAAAAAGTACATAATAGGGCTTAACATGGTTTTCACCTGTGATGCCCAGCTAAGGCAATCACAGCTAAGCCAATACAAGGTCCACATGGCCTATATCCAGGCCATAAGCTACACCTGTGTAAAAATGTATTTATACTGGTTAAAAAGCCAAACTGAGTTTAATACCAACGTTTATCAATGTAACAGTTTTAGAAAGCTATATATACTTCCATGGGCTGCCTATACCAGCAGGTATGTATACATATCAGTTCATAGACAGGCTAACACCAACAATGGGCAAATGTACCCAGGTTTGATTAATCAAAGCTAATCTGGTTCAAAATGGTATAGAATAGGCCATAAACTCATAGACGGGGGCCGATTCAACAAACTAGAATAGAGCAGTTTTGCCAAGCTGGCATTAAGATGCTGAGCATAGAAGTTATTTAGGGATATTTGTTTCTTCCAGTCCAGCAGCTGCCTTGGGAAGGATGCTACTGAAGATGGCAAGGTGGGTGTAGGAGAATTCGGCAGAAGTTTAAAGACTTTGCCCAGCCTGGTCTCATGACTGCCTTTCCTGCTTGATGAGGCATATCCTAAGGCTCTGAACTCCCTGTGAGACTTCCCTCCCTGTCATTAGAAGATACAGATGTTGTGTTGGATGCAGCAGAAGAAGGTTGTGGAGGGGAAGATGTGGAAAGTAAAGAAGGAGGAGCAGTGCAGGCCTGTTGCTGTCAACTATGTGTTTCCTCATGCATGTTGTATGCAAATGGCTAGCTCTTGTACCATTGCTGATGCACTGCAGGCAAAGGCTGCACACTGCAACAGTGATGTCAGCAGCAGAAATGTTATAAAAGGCCAACGCTAAGTTTCTGAAAGGAGGAATGCAGTGATCCTGTGATCAAATACATTTGCCGACTACTCATTTGTTTAGCCACTTTGAGAGGCTACGGCAGGATTTAGCAGAAAAGTAGAGGGATGAAAAAAGTGCATTAGCAGCAGTTGCAGAGCTCCGTAATGATGCAGCAGCCAAGCTGAACATTGTAAGGACTTAGGGTTGAGAATTCTGACTCTGGAAGGGTGGGCTCCTGTTGTGAAGGATGGGCCCCCCTCATGTGAAAGGTACAGGGGGGCACCTGTTGTGAATTGGGGACTCTGATGTAAAGGAGGGCTTCTAATTCGAAAGCAAATAGGTCTGATGTGAAAAGGGGGGCTCTGAAATGTGAAAAGTGGTACTTGAATGTGAAGGGGAGACTCAGATGTGAAGGGGTCTTCCAATGTAGGGGGGCTCTGATGTGAAGAGAGGGCTCCTGGTGTAAAGGGGGTTCTGGTGTGAAAAGGGGGGGGGGGGTTAACATCAGAGTGAAACTTGACTGCAATTCTGCTACTTTTCTCCACTACATATTCGTGCAAACTGAGCCTCAGTCACATCCACAGCATTGATAAGTACACATTTAAATTTTTTACATTTTAGGACTACCCCAGTTTTTGTATACTTTGAGGCTTTTTTGAAAAAAGGGTGAGAAACACCGCTTTAAACTGTGAATATGTAGCCCACCAAAGGTAAGTTATCATAATATAGCAGCTAACTCTCTTTACACTAACAGCTCTTCTTAAACTACTCCAACATACACTGACATATGGATGCTGGGAATGCAGCCTAATACAGTGAGGGGGCTGGCACATAACAAAGCCCTATAATTGCCCATTGAAACCCTGCTAAACACAGTTGAAAGATCAGAAAGGGAGTTCTTTTTTATTACAGGTGTTTATATAGCACTTTCAATTTACACTTTCCATACTTTACATTCACATCAGTCTCTGCTCTCATAGAGCTTACAATCCAGGGTCCCTATCACACTTGTATACATACAGGGACACACATACTAGGGCCAATTTAGATAGGAGCAAATTAACCTTCCAGCATATATGTGGAGAGGAAACCCACATAAGAACAGGAAAATGTGCAAACATCCTGGTTAGTATTTGAATGAAGGTGTTGTAAAACGGAAGCGCTAACCACCAGGCCACTGTGCATTATGGGCCCCTTAAATTTGGATCCAGCAAATCTCACCATATGTTTGCTGGAAACCACAGACCTCGAACCGCCTCAGATTCACCATGAATCCACTGTGCAGCAATCCAAACCTCACCCTTAATTGACAAGCAGACCAAAGAAGTTTCTTATCATAGTTGCAGTACTGCCCTCAGCTAGCTGAGACTGATGTAAACAAAGCAGAATCGCTGTGGGTCGGCTGGTTTATGGAATACCTGACCTTTTCTTTTAAATCTGGGGGTGGGGACTTTACAAAAATGTAACTTGTAAATTTAGTTGCACTTACAGTTTTAGTAACACAAAAGAAAAAGTTTTCTTTATCACACAGTGTAGCAGGCATTGATGAGCCCAGGGCTGCAATATCATTAGGTGGACCCTGTCCTATCTTTTCAGTCCCCCAGTACATTAAGGCCTGGCAATATGAAATAGACAGGGAGCAAGAATGAGCATTACTGAAAAGTACTAGTGTGTATGCTAGGACTTTCTCTACATATTGTGGTGAGCACTAATTTATTCCATATGTTGGTGGTTCACTGTTTTTTTTTGAAAGGGAGTGTAACAAATTCCTAATCCAGCAGCTCCTCACCAGGAGGCACCGGAATGCGTTCATGTATTCGTGGTTGAGGAACTGTTGTATGGCAGATAGGGGGGTGGGGAAGGGGGTGTGAGGAGTTGTAAATAGATGGGGAAAAAAAACTGAACCACTATCACCTGAACTTAGCACCCTCAAGTTAATAGTGGGCTAGAAACAGCCTTGGGTCTGGTGGGACGGACCAATGGGCACGGAGTAGCAGTCTTTTTCTTTTGTGCATTTGGGTAAGGCAGCCCCCCGGCTGTTTATATCAGCACACATAATTGCTCAATGATGCCTTAGTTTTGCACTGCAACAGCAATATGGACACATACTGCTGTGTCTGGCTACATTCCATTCTGCAGTGTGGTTAATGTGAACTACTCTGCACAGAAAGGGCACTGGGAACCTATAACTACAGGAAGTAAATGCACATCAGTATCTGTGCAAATCAAGCCTATGAAATTGTGTCCCTTATTTGCAACATAATTGAGAAGGTTAGGCATGGGGACCTGTCTGTATTACAACAGAGAGGGGTTTAGAAGATACAAACCAATTCTGGTAAGTCTCTGTTATTCTACAACTTCTGAAAATATTTCAGCATGATCCTCTCACCAGGACTTGAGAAAATATACAATAACTTTGGTAATACTATAAATCATCATTTTAATATGCTTTATTATATCTAATAATAATTTTTCTTAGAAAATGTTTAGTTCATGTACCCTAAATAGAACATAGCTGTCATCATAATTATTTTACATGAATTAGGTATTTACCTTTTTTTTTTAACTACTAATGTTTATTTCTTATATATCAATATTGTTTTATCTCCTTGACAGAATGGCTTAATTTTCTACTCTCCTGCTCAGGAACTAGCAAATGCCAGTCGGAATCTAGTGATAGTACAAAAGAGGAATAATCCAAAACAAATGTGCAGAGTGAGAGTGCCACAACAAGTTAATAAGTCCAGTATAGATTTATTAGTCTCTATGAATATCAAAAAATAGCAATCAACACGTTTCAGGAGATCTCATTTCCCTCTTCCTCAGGGCTTTCATTAACAGTGGCAGATGAACTGAACGGTGAAGGAAAATGGAAAATTATGATCACTGTGCATGTGCCAGACTGAGAGAAAGAGGAATAAGGGATCCCAATAATTTATGTGAACTTACTTTCACATACATAATATAATAAGAAAGAGTAACACATTTTGTAAGCCTGACCGATACAATACACATTTCTGTGGAGTAAATGTATTATTTAAAAAAAAAAAAATCATAAATACTGAACAGTGGTGGGCTTATTGCTTGTATTCAGGGAGTTAAAGCCCAATCTCTGGCTGACAAGTCACATATAACTCTGAGCCCACTTTGATATTGCTTATGGCCACCTCACTGATACAAAGCTTTTAAATATCTGTGTTTCTGTACTTATTTTTGTTTATATCTTATAAAATTACAAATCGATTTTGTGTGTTTGATGGCACTAAAATATGATACAATTTTGAAGAACCTCGTTCTATGTTGTATTTTCCTGCACAATTGTGTGTCTTTCTAGTTTTGCTAGATTTAAATTGCCAACATCTGTTTTAAGTTATACCACTTCTCTGCTGTAATATACTTAACACACGATTTAGGAAGTATTCTGCACAGATCAGTGTACGCTTAACATAAGAAAATGACTATTGAAGCACATGCATTTTAATTCTTTGGATAACCTGAGGCTTTGCATATTCACCCAATATTATGAAATCTGTGCCCACCGATAGGACCAGATAAGCATAATTGATGCTCTACATTGTTACTGGTTGCCAGAAAGGCCAGCTGGACATAATATAAGTGGTAGGCAGCTACAGGCAGGCACCAGGGAAACAGTTACTTGAGATAAGTACTTGACTGTAACAGTGTGAGTTCTGTCTGAGCTGTGAATGTGCAGAGAGGGACGTTACACCCTATACTGGTCACACTCACTTCTTTGGGACTCCGCCAAAGAAAGAAATTAACTGCACATTGTAGGAGAGGAAATATTTACAAGTCAAGGGACGGAAGTGTTAGAAGAAACGTATCCTGGAGCTGAGGGAAGAGCACTTCATTTCAGTGTCCTTATACCCTGGGACTGGGTTTGCAAGAGTGTTTGTTGTGGCTTTAAATTTGTGAGCAGTCAATCCACTGGAGAGAGAGAAAAACTAGAAAAACTAGTAAGTATAATCTGGAGTCAGTCTTCACACATCTGGACTCTCTCTCTTTCTCTCTCTCTCTCTCAGTCAGGCTGTTACTCCTTGCTAATACTCTGTCCATGTTCATACAACTTCTCTTCTTCAAGGCTCCCTACCATATAGGTGATTATGTTTAGGTGGCTTTATAAAATGTTTTTATATTCCTGTGTTCTTTGCTTTCCCTATATTGTTCTCTTTTAGTTCCTTTCTATATTCTTTTGTAGTTTCTGAGTGTTTTTTGTTTTTCATACCATCAATTTTTCCATTTTGTTTTCTACACAAGTGAGGCTTGTGGGGTTATGGGTTAACAAGGTGTATTCTCTTAAAGTGCGTAAGGCGAGCTATACTGTGAACACAACCCTGTTATGTTTGACCTGCCAAATGCAAAGGAACTATAAGCAGCACAATTGATTATTATATATATATATATATATAAATCATTTATAGAGTATACAATAATGGACTTTTAAGACATTTGTATACTTTATAAATGATCAATTGAACTAGGATGTGATACTCCTCATATCCTTCCCATCCTTCTACTTAACCAATTATTATATATAGTGTGCTGTGTCTAATAGGATTACAAATGTCTATGTATTCAGACTAATTTAAAATGTTCTAAACCCATGATGCATAATGATATGATAGCAACAGATAAGTGGGTAAGGTACACAGGCAAGCGAAGGGCTTTGTAAGAAAAAGGAGTTTTCAGAAGCCGGCTAAAATGTTAATTCTGGTGAAAGCTACAGGGCGACTGTTCATTTTAAACCTTTAAATTCAAATTCAGTTGCTGTATTGTCAGTGAGCAAAATGGTTTCCCAGTTACCACTGGGTCCGTGAGACCCCAAGAACAAAACAATGTGAGAGACCCTTTCATGTCTGGGCTCTATTTAACAGCTTTCAATCACTGAAGATTAGCATTCTTACTACATACCCTTTTATAAAGAAATTAAAGTCACACAGGACTAACTTTAGTGGTGGACCCTGCAAGGTCACACCCTGCAAGATGATCTGTTGTCACCACTGATTACACACACACACACACACACTCCGAGATGCATTTTTTTTGTTCTTTTTAAGCACATTCTTGGACTCCCCCACAGGCTGACACACCCTGAGTGCTTCTCAGTCCATACTGCTATTTAAACAACCGACATCCAGATCCTCTTAGCCTGTGTTATTATAAGTTAAACATTCCCTTCAAGCACTCCCTTAACACATTACATATTCTATGAGGGAGTAATAACATCTTCCTTAACCCTTTGTGTTTATGGTGCATTATGGAAAGTCTCACATCCAACAGTTCTGCTAATTGAATGACATTTTTTGTTACCCTACAAAACCTTTGCAACATATTAAACACACTAATAAGGAGACCCATCCTATTCTGGGCAGTACAACGTGCTCCGAGACACAGTGCTCAGAGTTTTTCTTATTGTGTTTTTCTTCATAGTTTATCAGGTGCAGCTAAATGGCAGTCAAGCCACATATATAATAAGAGGGGCCATTGTCCCTATAGTAAATGCACAGAACATTTACACAACCATGCAGGTCGTAGACTCAAAAATGTGCAAGCGGCATTCAAAGTTGTTTTATTAGTTTATAACCTGTATCTCCCGTGGCCAAACCAGGGTCAGGCGCATTCACAGTTAGGGTTAATTAGGGTCAATGGCCCCACATTGGACATGTGGCTCAGTTCCAATTAGATTTTAATAAGAGGAGTTGCAGCTCAAATGCATTGGACAATGTCAGTGTACAATAAATATAAAGTGCAGTGAACTAATTCATACGACCATTGCTTGCTGGATAAGAACCAAATAATAATAATACGGTATCCATCCTATCATGCAAGACCAACAAGATCAGATGAAAAGTGTATTCAAAAATTACTTGGGCTGGTCAAAGTACACTGCTCTCCCTTGTCATTTTTTGAGAGTCACTATAGCTGTTGGACATAAATAAAATGTTCCTACTACAATCTGGTCGGGGTGAGCAGTGACAGATTCCAGATTCATACCTACATTTTTGGGCTATTTCGCCCTGAAGCATATAAGGCTAAAATGTAATACATAGTTATCATTACATTTTTACAATGATCAAATAATGCAAGAACAACATGAAATCAATTATGATCACGAAGATGCAACTATGAGAACCCAATCTAATAACTGTATGATGTACTTTGTGGACTACGTTAGGATTAAAATATGCCATACTTATTTCGGCATGCTTATTTTCTGATTATACTATCATAATTATTTATAATAGGAAGGGAATATAAAGAGTTATAGATGTTTAAAACGACTTTGATTTTGCAACATTATCCCATAAAACAAGGGTGATTGTTTGCGTTAAAGGAGAATTATGGGGTGAGTGAAAAGCACCCATCCCATTAATTTAAGCCGACCTGTGTCACAGGTCGTCTCTATTGATTGGGAAGTCAGCGAACACATACCCCCAATCACTGACTTCCCGATCCTCTCCCTGCAGAGAGTGTTGACTGTCAGTCACCGCTCCTCACAGGGATTCCCCCCTTCCCTCTCTCATCCTCTAGCACTGACTGGAGGAATGGGCGAGAAGGGGGCGGGCAAAGCTGGCTCTGCTTCTAGAGAGGCAGAGCCAGCTGTCATTCAGCCAGCGGTGTGGATCTTGACAGCACTCTCAGCATATGGCGGCCAATAGCCTGCTATATACTGAGTTTTGGGTTGCCGGAGGACCCAGTATATGTCCTCCTGTGACCCTGAAGAAAACTATGGGCAAAAAAGGTTGCTTCATAGTTCTCCTTTAAATGTCTAATGTGTACTGGCACTTCCTGTCTTACAACTGTCTTTTAATTGTGCTCCTGTATTGTCACGCTGTGTTCCTGGTGGAGGCTACAAGCAGCCATACTGACATACATTGCATAGGCATAGTCCAATATTGTCACCATCAGAAAACCGATCCAGAGCATTTGTGTGCAGCAGTCATGCATGTAGGCAAGTGCCTGAATGAGGCTTGAGGAAATCAGCAGCAGTCATGCATGTAGGCAAGTGCCTGAATGAGGCTTGAGGAAATCAGCAGCACTGAGATGAAAAGAAAAGGATTCAAAAAAGGTGAAAACGATATGTATCAAAACAAGCATGACAACTGTTTATGACACATGGCGCTTCAACAAACTAAATGTCATGGAGGTACAGTTTAGGCCTACTCTAACCACCAGACAACTATCATTTCTAAAGTGGTTAGCAATGGCAGTCCTATTTCTTGCAGCACAGGTTTTTTTTCCTTTCAGACATGCCTCCCAAGAGTCTCGGATTCGGTGGGACTGTCTTGGGATTTTAACAAATCCCTGCATGCCCTGGATCCAAGATGTGTGTGCCGCTGCCAGCCAGGTGCTGGACCGCTCATTGCAGCCCCCGACTTCTTTACATTTGCTGCTATGTTGCGTGGAGTGATCTCTGACACGAGTACTATACATCTGGCAGAGGGAGGCAGCTGGGCGGGCTGCAGAGCGTGGATAGGTATGTAATCCACTTAACAACAATGACCCCGACCTTAACCTTACCAAGCATGAGTGCCCCCCTTTTTTATAAAGCGCATTCTCAGGTTGGGGTTGAATACATGAGGAGAATTGCTCTTATCAAGTATAATGGTGCAGGCAATTCAAGGGTAGCGATAACCTGGCTACTATACACTGGCAAATTTTCACACAGTCATCATAACATTCGATAATGCCATCACAGACTTAACGACTGTTGTACCCCATTTCCTTTGATTTTAACATTCCATTGTGGAATGAATGGCGTTTCCTGAACAAAAACCACAATCCCTACTAGAGCGAAAACATTTTCCATCCTGCTCCTTTGATTTTTTTTACATCATCATGGTTGAAAACGATTGTCGATTTAAGAAAATCGAACATGTTCCAAAAAATTTTTCAAATGAAATTCTACTGATGTATGGTCAACTATGTACTGAATAGACATGACTGTTTCGTGACAGGTTCATCTTAATCTGATAAATCAAGGTGTAAGTAAGATATTTTACCTACGTTACAAGTCAGAACTGTAATAACATGGCCCCTACCACCCAAAGTATTTTCGGTCATTCACCTCCCCAACAATATCTTGGTATAGTACCAATATCTTTTTTTGTCTTTAGCTCTATAATTTCCAACACATTTCAGACTATACACACACACACACACACACACACACACACACAATCACACACAATACTGCAGATTGAGCTGCCTATGCTGCCTTTTATTTACACATCTACCTAATGCTCACTTTCTTGCTGCACATCATTGTAATCAAAATAAATTAAAGTCACAATGGAACTAGTGGCATGTGCTGAAAATCTTCAGGATGTTACATAGATGATGAAGCTTTTTCTAGGAGGGCTGCTTTTGCCTTTACATGGAAACTATTTATAAATGTAGACAGAGAGGAGCGAATGCCCGTCTATAGAAAACATGTTCACGGGCATTATCTGTATACTTTAGAGAACAAAGCAAGGCTAATGAAATAGTTGGCAAACCATTAGTGCTCGGCACTGGCATCTTGGCTGTGTTATTTTTGGCACAGTTGCTGCAGCCCAGGTTAAAGTCCAGCCAAAACTTATATGGAGAAAGTGGGGAAGAGTAAGGACCCCTTTTAGGGTTTCATTCTGTTTTGCAAAACGGTTGTCATCACGACAGGAACTGAGGGGGCAATCTATTAACGGAGCCCTGATACCAGTAAAAAAAAAAGCCAACAGGGGTTCTAATTCTTACCCACTCTTTCTGAAGCAAAAAAAAAGTTTTGGTTAAACATCCACTTTATTCCTTTTGCTGCCAAGGCGTATTTTGAACATTATAATCCACATTTTAGGCCTGAAAATTATTTAAGATCCCAGAGAATTATACATTTCCCGAAAATGCCTGTAGAATAAAATGGCGGCAAATTTTTACATCGCATGACATTAGCACAACTTTTTATCAAACCCCAAATTTCATT